ATAGTTGAAGCAGAAGCTCAATGCCAGCGAGAGTAGTCAGATAGCAGACATGGTACTGCTGTACCTAGGGCTGTGACGGTCATGGAATTTTGGATGATGGTTATTGGTCAGCCAAATGACGCGGTCACTGTAATAAACATTCGATTAGGGGAAAAAAATAAGTTTTTTTAATTTTGTACTTTTGAAAGAAGCACATTTTCTCTTCTCCTCTCCTGACTGTATGTGCTGCTGCAGGGGGGGGGGGGGGTTCCCTAGGCTGCCATAGACTTGTTTGCTACAACACCTTGCTTGTTTCAGCAAGGAGCAACAAAGTTTAATCACGTTGTAGAGTCCATGTTACAGCAGAAACGGACTCAATCGCACGGATGCCCGGCCGTCCTGTCTTCAGTCAGCTGTCCTTTCCAAACACAAAAAAACATTGATAAAAACCGGTCATGACGGTCTTCATCCATAACCGTTGGTTACACAGAGAAAGTGTGTCAGTTGGACAGAATGGTCTGGCAGGCAACCGCACTTAAGTGATATCCCACACAACCAACCTGACAGGCCCTGCCCACCCCTCAGCCAATGGGAGCTGTAGCGGCAGAGAGTAGGCAGGGCGGTAGCGTTGCTAGAGTGATCTCCCTGAATGAGTGTGCTTGCAGAATGCTTGCAGATGAGAGTTATATAATCAAGAGGAAAGGGAGGGGGAGCGGGGGATTGGAGAGAAAAGAGAGGGCAGAGGGAGGAAGAGAGCAGGAGCTACTTTTTTTTCATTGCATGCCTGCAGCTGCCCTGTTGCTCTGTGTATTTGAGTCATTACTTAGAGAGAACAGCAGACTTTCCCAGTTTTTTCATAGAAAAAACACATTTAAAGTGATATTTTCCTACATGCAATGTCACAACAATGCATTAAATCACAGAGTTAAGTCATTTTCCTTATATCTATCTGCCTCTTGGAATACTAAAGATCCCATACTTTATGAATAACACAGATTTGGTATCTCTTTCTCTAGCACAAAAATGAAATAGACTGACAGATTGAGTAATGGTAGCATGTCACATTCATAAGTTAGTTGTTTTTGTCTTTGTGTAGCACTATGGCTGCTGTGAAGTAATACAGCTGACCGGCTCCGTCTGTTTAAAAGGAAACATGTTTTTCTTCTTCACATACTGCCCTCCATTTTAGCCACTCATATCATATGGGCCCTGTGTATGTGAAGGGAGAGAGTGGGAGAGAGCGTGTTTGAGGGGGCTGAGTTTTCTGACACATGACTCGTGTCTATTTCTGTCTCTTTCACCTCACTGGGTCTACAGTCAGACAGACAACTTTAGAGACACTCGGCCAAGTTTAGGTGCAAAGCCATGGAACGCCGTTTGGGTCTTTGCGCGTCAAAAAAGATACACGTCAAATAACACTATTTGACGCATCAAATAAGCACGTATCGTTCTTACTCTTCTCAACGAGCAGCGGGTGCTTTGTTACCCCCGTCCCAAAGCACTCACAGGCGGCCCAGTCCTCACGCAGCAGTCCCAGCTGCAGTCAAGAGCGTCCAGACTGCAAATGAATCGCGCATGCGGGAAGCCGCCGCTGGCTGATCCCGCCCTGGCTTACATTCAGGGCGGGATGTAAATATAGGGTGTTTTTTACTCACTTTTTGTCTCTCCCACAACGTTATTCCTCTCTCCTACAGCGTCCATCACAATTACATGCACATTGCCAATTATGCATATTAGGTGATGACATCATTTAGCGACTTCTAGCGACTAGCTTTAGCTTGGTACCTAGCTAGCACCAATGCAACCAGCCTGAAAACAATGATCAGTAGAAACTGCAGTCATTTTCAATATTCTTAGCAATGATTTAGGAATCCATGTGAGTAAGTATTAGCTAGGGAGCCACTTCTTGTTCTCCTATTAAAATAACTAGCTAGCAAGCTACTTAACCCTGTTGCCCAAAACTAACTTTATAAGCAGCCAGCTAGCTTCATCTGGCTAGTATGGCTTGACCGGCACGGGTTATGTGTTGTGAAGCTAGCCACAATAAGGATTAGCCACAATAGTGTAATTTGCGTGTCACCTTCAAAATAAAAGTCGCCCTTTGAAAGTGATGCAGAAGGTTACAATTGGTGGAATCATGCCATATGTAAGACTAGGTCATGTTAAACAAGGTTGAAGTGTTGGAATGTGGAGCAATGAAATGAGGTATCAGCCTACTTGGTGACACCCACAGAACACAACTGTAAAGAGTTTATGCAAATATTAGCGTCGTACCTCTTATTGCAGGACTTTGACTGTGGGAAATCACCTCCCCAGACAGCCTATTGTGCGTATTGACATTCATATTGCAGTGTACAGCCTTACCTAAGGATTGGGGATCAATGAAATGGGGTTTCAGTCTACTCCGTACCCAAGTGCTTTTTTCCCAAAGACCTACTCCGTTATCAGGCTCCAGAACATCCACGTTGTATTGTTTTTCCTCTGGAATAGTGTTCAATACACATAGTAGGTTGACTGGTACAATAAATGTGGCTAAATTCACAGTGGTTTCAGAGTCCCGCAATAAGAGCTACGACGCTAATGTTCTCTGGGTGTCACTGAGTAGACTGAGACCCCATGTCATTGATCCACAATCCACAGGTGAGGCTGTACAGTCAAATAAGTAAGCCCTTTGTTGAGTTTATATAATAACACTCCAACCTGGTTTAGCATGATCTATTCCATTATGGCATAATTCCACTATTTGTATTAATTTGCATCACTTTGATTGAGACTTATCTTGAAGGCGAAACGCAAATTCCACTATTGTGGCTAATCCTTATTGTGGCTAGCTTCACATCGGTGGGTCCGACCACCATTAATCAAATAAGAACTGTCTTATAAATTAGAGGTATTTTAGATGATGACACCTAGCTAGAAAGTTAGCTAGCTAACTATAGCTACTGAAACAGATTATGTCGTTTTGCTATGTTTTTGGGGAAGAACATTTGTTTGCATCCATCAGCTAGCTAGTTTTTTTTCCAACTAGCTCTGTGCAGTGCTTGGGGAAGTGTCTGCGCTCGTGGGCCAGAGGGGCAGCGGCAGGTGCGCGAGACAACTTTACCAGCATCATAGCATACGTATCGGTGAATCGTTGTGACATGAAATACGGGTGATAGTGTAATCAATGTGTAATAACTACGTAAAAAAATTATGAACGTGTTAAATTATTATATGACGTGCAGTCATATTCAGGTCCTGATTGGTCAACAAGCTTATTTGACGCGTCAAATAGTGTTATTTGACGTCTATCTTTTTTGACACGCGAAGACCCAAACGGCGTTCCATACAAAGCCCTTCAGTCAAATCATTCCTCCGTGCTCCTTTTATTTCATACTATGTTTACTTTCAGTTTTCTTCTTCTCTTTTCTGGATCAATCTATCTGGGGTGTAACTGTACTTAATGTGATTATTGTGGATACATTAATATAATAGTTCGATTTAAAACGTTTACATGCTTTGCAAGAACAACGATTTCCCTAATAATCCGGTTTACATGGACACATCTGAAATCAGGCTACCTAATGGCACTCAAATTGGCAATGAAAGTAAAGGTTCTACTACAGCGACCGTGTTATTTTTGGGAAGCATATTTCATTCTGAGTTCAGACATATAAAGTTTGTCTGTGAAAACTACTTCTAAGACACATACATTCAGTTGTTCCGAACTCAGTTCATTCACGCTAATGAGGGAGGCTCGCTCGGCTGTTGCTAGCACATGGGCAGATCAAATAAACAGCTGGAACAACGATTTAAGGCGTTTACATGTCCTAATAATTCGAAAGATTGCTCAGAAAACCAGGTGTTTTAATCGGCATATGCTTACTTCGATTTTGACCTTACGCCGATTAAGATAAGCAGAGTAGGGTGTTTACATGACTATTGCATAATCTGCCTTCTGCCATAATCAGGTTAATATTGAATTATTACTGTGCATGTAAATGTACTCAGTAACACCAACATAAAACGTCTTAATATGTCGTTGGGCCACCACGAGCCGCCAGAACAGCTTCAATGCGCCTTGGCATAGATTCTACAAGTGTCTGAAACTCTATTGGAGGGATGCAACACCATTTTTCCACGAGAAATTGCATAATTTGTTGGTGGAAAACGCTGTCTCAGGCACCACTCCAGAATCTCCTGTAAGTGTTCATTTGGGTTCAGATATGGTGACGGAGACACACACGCACCCTTTAAACCCCCTATGCTCCTTTGAGGCACCTCTTTCAAAGTCACAGAGATCTCTTCTTCTAGCCATGGTAGCCAAAATAATGGGCAACTCGGCATTTGTATACATGACCCTAAGCATGATGGGATATTAATTACTTAATTAACTCAGGAACCATACCTGTGTGGAAGCACCTTCTTTCAATATACTTTGTATCCCCCATTTACTGGAGTGGTTCCTTTATTTAGGCAGTTACCTGCAGTAGATGCGGCATTATTTAAAGTCAATATTTGCCAATTTCAATACCTTTCTGTCTGCTGCTGCGAAACTCAGAGCACGCAAGGCAGAGCCAAACTGACAGCCTGCCTTACACTTTCACCAACTCTTCCTTCACACTGTGCTAACCATAGCCACATGCCAGGTAGAAACCTGTTAACCGGTTGCAAACGCCAATATTCCTCTGAATCGAAGCCAATGCTAGCCTTGCAAAGTGTCTATAATGTATGTGTGAACGTTTGCAACACCTTATGCAATCACATCTGGTTTTGATACAAGCTCTTCTTGGCTGTGCCCCAAGAGAGATTGGCCTCAGCGGGGGTGTTACTCAATAGTGAGATGGGTGTTTGTGTGTGTAGGCTGTATCAGTCCAAATTCCTGTCCTTATTTTGAGATCTACTAGCTGTAGACTTGACAGGGAATTATACTTTGTATGCATTCTCATTAGGTTTTGATACAGGTTTGATAACTCACTTGATGGCTTAATCTTCACAGCTTTTTCAATATGTTCCCTCTCTCTCTCTGTGTCTCTGCAGCTCAAATAGAAGTAATACCCTGCAAGATCTGTGGGGACAAGTCCTCAGGAATCCACTATGGAGTCATTACCTGTGAAGGCTGCAAGGTGAGCTAGTACTAGAGTTTTTCCACTGTACCACTTCACAAAATAGGTCATGGGAGACTTACTGTCTTAACAATATAAAACCAAGACAAGCTGCAATAGAAAATATCCTTTGTTGTCATCAATGATTTAAAACATCCATGCTATAACATCTAGGTTTATGATGCTGGAATTGTATACATTATGTAATAATTTGACTCATCCCATTGTCTTTCTTTGTGTAGGGGTTCTTCCGCCGCAGCCAGCAGAACAATGCCATGTACTCGTGTTCCCGCCAGAGGAACTGTCTTATTGACCGAACAAGCCGCAACCGCTGCCAACACTGCAGACTGCAGAAGTGTCTGGTGTTAGGCATGAGCCGGGACGGTGAGTCTCTCTCACTCACTCACATACAGTGGGGGAAAAAGTATTTAGTCAGCCACCAATTGTGCAAGTTCTCCCACTTAAAAAGATGAGAGAGGCCTGTAATTTTCATCATAGGTACACGTCAACTATGACAGACAAATTGAAAAAAATAAATCCAGAAAATCACATTGTAGGATTTTTAATGAATTTATTTGCAAATTATGGTGGAAAATAAGTATTTGGTCACCTACAAACAAGCAAGATTTCTGGCTCTCACAGACCTGTAACTTCTTCTTTAAGAGGCTCCTATGTCATCCACTCATTACCTGTATTAATGGCACCTGTTTGAACTTGTTATCAGTATAAAAGACACCTGTCCACAACCTCAAACAGTCACACTCCAAACTCCACTATGGCCAAGACCAAAGAGCTGTCAAAGGACACCAGAAACAAAATTGTAGACCTGCACCAGGCTGGGAAGACTGAATCTGCAATAGGTAAGCAGCTTGGTTTGAAGAAATCAACTGTGGGAGCAATTATTAGGAAATGGAAGACATACAAGACCACTGATAATCTCCCTCGATCTGGGGCTCCACGCAAGATCTCACCCCGTGGGGTCAAAATGATCACAAGAACGGTGAGCAAAAATCTCAGAACCACACGGGGGGACCTAATGAATGACCTGCAGAGAGCTGGGACCAAAGTAACAAAGCCTACCATCAGTAACACACTACGCCGCCAGGGACTCAAATCCTGCAGTGCCAGACGTGTCCCCCTGCTTAAGCCATTACATGTCCAGGCCTGTCTGAAGTTTGCTAGAGTGCATTTGGATGATCCAGAAGAGGATTGGGAGAATGTCATATGGTCAGATGAAACCAAAATAGAACTTTTTGGTAAAAACTCAACTCGTCGTGTTTGGAGGACAAATAATGCTGAGTTGCATCCAAAGAACACCATACCTACTGTGAAGCATGGGGGTGGAAACATCATGCTTTGGGGATGTTTTTCTGCAAAGGGACCAGGACGACTGATCCGTGTAAAGGAAAGAATGAATGGGGCCATGTATCGTGAGATTTTGAGTGAAAACCTCCTTCCATCAGCAAGGGCATTGAAGATGAAATGTGGCTGGGTCTTTCAGCATGACAATGATCCCAAACACACCGCCCGGGCAACGAAGGAGTGGCTTCGTAAGAAGCATTTCAAGGTCCTGGAGTGGCCTAGCCAGTCTCCAGATCTCAACCCCATAGAAAATCTTTGGAGGGAGTTGAAAGTCCGTGTTGCCCAGCGACAGCCCCAAAACATCACTGCTCTAGAGGAGATCTGCATGGAGGAATGGGCCAAAATACCAGCAACAGTGTGAAAACCTTGTGAAGACTTACAGAAAACGTTTGACCTGTGTCATTGCCAACAAAGGGTATATAACAAAGTATTGAGAAACTTTTGTTATTGACCAAATACTTATTTTCCACCATAATTTGCAAATAAATTCATTAAAAATCCTACAATGTGATTTTCTGGATTATTTTTTCTCAATTTGTCTGTCATAGTTGACGTGTACCTATGATGAAAATTACAGGCCTCTCTCATCTTTTTAAGTGGGAGAACTTGCACAATTGGTGGCTGACTAAATACTTTATTTCCCCACTGTACGTGCAAGTATTCTAACCCAGAGGATAACTCATGACAGCGTTATACAACAGTTATTTCCAATCCACACAGACATTGACTTCCATTCTTCCCCTTCTCATGTCTCCATCCAGCCGTGAAGTTTGGCCGTATGTCTAAGAAGCAGCGCGACAGCCTGTACGCTGAGGTCCAGAAGCACAAGAAGAACCAGGAGTGTCTGAACCAGGGTCTGTCCCTGTCCAGGGAAGACGTGGCTGGGGGAGAAAGCGAGTGGGACGGGCACGGGGAGCTCAGTCGCTCCTACAGCAGCGGGGGCTCCACCTCCACCCTGAGTGACCTGGATGACATCGCAGCGCTCCCCGAACTGTTTGATCTGCCCTTGACCCCACAGGAGGCCCACGAGTACTGCAGCCTGGAGCTGCAAGAAGACCACGGCGGAAGCACTGGGAACACCTCCAATTCTTCATCATCGTCATCATCCTCTCCCATTTCATCCAATCAGAATTCTCCCCAGCAAAATCTACTGGATGTCACCGACGCCAATGGGATCAAACACGAGTACCAGATGTTGTCACTCACACACACGCTCTTGGCGCACACACACGCCACGCTGCTAGAGCCACTGCCTGATGACTGCCCTCTTATGGATATAGGTAAGAAATCTATTACTATTGCTATAACTAACAAAGTTTCCCATTATCAATAAACATGTTATCTGTAGTGGTCTTGTATTCATAAGTGTGCCTGTGTTGTTTCTGTTTCAGAGCGTATCACCCAGAGTGTGGTCAAGTCTCACTTGGAGACGAGTCAGTACAGCTCTGATGACCTGAAGAGGCTGACATACAATGGGATGCAGTACTCACCTGAGGAGACCCGCAACTTCCAGTGCGAGGTGAATACACACTCACACTCACTCACATTGCACTCACCATCACAATACCTAGGATAATATATTGCATTATCGTTGTATTCAATTATTATCTCTCTCTTTCTCCCAGTCTGCAGAGTCTGTGTGGCAGCAATGTGCCCACCACATCACCAATTCCATCCAGTACGTGGTGGAGTTTGCCAAACGCATTACAGGCTTCATGGACCTGTGTCAGAATGACCAGATCATTCTGCTCAAAGCAGGTCAGGACCTATATATACATGCACACATGCTAATTAGACTGACTGCTCAAATCACTTCAGTTCTTACAGGACATACACACTGATACGCAAAACCAGGTGGGCATGTTTACACAAGTAGTTATTTCTGTGTGACATGCACACTCTCTTATACACACACTTACATATGCAAACAGCCATTATTTCAAACCGTGTACCATAGAAGCACATGACAATTCCTGTAATGTGAGTGAAGAAATGGTGTAAATGGTTTATCTTGCTAACTTTGGCTCTTGTACTTCTTTTCTCCAACCTTCTTCCTTTTTGTGCTCTTTTTATTTGTATCGGTTTGTTTTTTTACAAACCACACATCACTGCTCTGACCACTTAACCATCTCTGAAACCTAAATGTATTTATATAATTTATCATTATATCTGCAACACACACAAAGACATTTCTTTTACAATACTCCATATTATACCATTTGTAAATGTGTGAAATCCTTTTTGACAAATTCTTGGTGATCTCTATATTGTCCTGCTGATTTTCTAAATGTTCAAATGCCTTACATCTTCTGTCCTCCAATCTGAAATATTTACTTTTCATTGTGTGTTTGTGCATGTTGGAGCATTTTTCGTCTTCTTGGTTTTCCCCTCCCTCCTCTTCCTCCATCTCTGTGGCTCTCTATGGTTGCCATTGCAGGCTGTCTGGAGGTGCTGTTGATAAGGATGTGCAGGGCGTTTAACGCCACCACAAACACCATGTTCTTTGATGGCAAATTTGCCTCCGCTCAGCTCTTCAAAGCCCTCGGTAAGTGTCTTATAAATAGGCTACTCTTTCTGTGATACAGTTGAATGTATAGGGTTGATAATGTTAGCGACTGCAAATTAGCCTGATCTAAGACCAGCCTGACCGCTGCTCTTTATGTAAGCTCGCGAGATTCTGATGGTAGTATGAGGCTAACTCATACAATTCAATGAAAACTCAACATGGTGTCTGGATATCTAATATTGTGATATTTCTCTGCAGGTTGCGATGACCTGGTCAGTGCCGTGTTTGACCTGGCTAAAGGTCTCTCCCGCCTGCAGCTGACCGATGAGGAGATGGCTCTGTTCAGCGCCGCTTGCCTGCTGTCCCCAGACCGACCATGGCTAACCGACAGCCAGAAGGTCCAGAAGCTACAGGCGAAGGTCTACCTGGCTCTGCAACACAGTCTGCACATGAGCGGGGCTGCTGACGAGAAACTAGACCAGGTAAGGCCCAGCACACTCCACGGCACCATAACAACAAAACACAGCCCACAGTCTCTAGCCATGGCCCAGTTGTCATTAGCTGAGATCCACCATATTGGAGTCACTGGTGTAGCATATGTCTCCTCTCCAATAACTTTTTTATGATACGCTCCTCTCCAGAATATCCCAAACAGCTGCATATGCATATTTTATAGGGCCTTATGGCCTGAATGATCTTGTGCTGAAGACATTCTGACATTCTTTAAATCTAACAAAGACAAACATTTAACCAGTCTAGTGCTGTAGACTGGATCTATCCCATTTAGCTTAGCTTAAGTCCATACACATTTCATGCATTCTCTAGATTTTTCCCATTCCATCCCACCAAGTCCATAGATATTGATTGTGTTTTCCTGACTGATCCCGGTGTGTCCCCTCTGTAGATGGTGTCCAAGCTGCCAATGATGAAGTCCATCTGTAATCTCCACATCGACAAGCTGGAGTTCTTTCGTCTGGTCCACCCCGAGACCGCATACAGCTTCCCACCACTCTACCGGGAAGTGTTTGGGAGTGAGATCTCTCTCCCCGACTCTACAAACAACTCCTAGAGAGAAAGAAAGAGTGAACGTGTTAGCGAGAAAGAGGGAGAAGTGTGGAGGTAGGGAAGCGGAAGGAGAGAATGAATGAGTGAGGAATATAAATAGTGACCTCAAAAATAACCAGCAGTTAACGAGACAATCCAGGACTTCAAATACTCAGTCTCCCAGCATCCTGTGGTGTTAGTCCTCCACTATCCCAGCAGGCCATGCACCTTACACTACAGACTTCACCTTCATGGTCCTTTTGTACCGTAGCACTTTGGACAAACTAATAGGTGATATGCATATTCTACAGTATGCACATAGATCATTTAGCATTAGAACATCATTTTACATGAATGTACCTCACTGACAAGCACCAATGCACCAGCTAGAACCCCACACCAAATGTAAATACTAACACTGCTACAGTTCGACTGGTCAAATTAGAATCATTAATTTATAGTCCCACAGACAGTTCATGGCAGTACCCATATATGTAGGCTACATATACAGTACCAGTCAAAAGTTTGGACACACCTGCTCATTCAAGGGTTTTTCTTTATTTTTACCATTTTCTACATTGTAGAATAATAGTGAAGACATCAAAACTATGAAATAACACATATGGAATCATGTAGTAACCCAAAAAGTGTTAAGCAAATCAAAATATATTTTATATTTGAGATTCTTCAAAGTAGCCACCCTTTGCCTTGATGGCAGCTTTGCACACTCTTGGCATTCTCTCAACCAGCTTCATGAGGAATGCTTTTCCAACAGTCTTGAAGGAGTTCCCACATATGCTGAGCACTTGTTGGCTACTTTTCCTTCACTCTGCGGTCCAACTCATCCCAAACCATCTCAATTGGGTTGAGGTCTGGTGATTGTGGAGGCCAGGTCATCTGATGCAGCACTCCATCACTCTCCTAGGTCAAATAGCCCTTATCCAGCCTGGAGGTGTGTTTTGAGTCATTTTCCTGTTAAAAAACAAATGATAGTCCAACTAAGTGCAAACTAGATGGGATGGCATATCGCTGCAGAATGCGGTGGTAGCCATGCTGGTTAAGTCTGCCTTGAATTCTAAATAAATCACAGATAGTGTCACCAGCAAAGCACCCCCACACCATCACACCTCCTTCTGCTTCACCGTGGGAACCATACATGCAGAGATCATCCGTTCACCTACTCTGCGTCTCACAAAGACACAGCGGTTGGAACCAACTATTTCAAATTTGGACTCATCAGACCAAAGGTCAGATTTCCACCGGTCTAATGTCCTTTGCTCGTGTTTCTTGGCCCAAGCAAGTCTCTTCTTCTTATTGGTGTCCTTTAGTAGTGGTTTCTTTGCTGCAATTCGACCATGAAGGCCTGATTCACGCAGTCTCCTCTGAACAGTTGATGTTGAGATGTGTCTGTTACTTGAACTCTGAAGCATTTATTTGGGCTGCAATCTGAGGTGCAGTTAACTCTAATGAACTTATTATCTGCAGCAGAGGTAACTCTGGGTCTTCCTTTCCTGTGGCGGTCCTCATGAGAGCCAGTTTCATCATAGCGCTTGATGGTTTTTGGGACTGCGCTTGAAGAAACTTTTAAAGTTCTTGAAATGTTCCGCATTGACTGACCTTCATGTTTTAAAGTAATGATGGACTGTTGTTTCTCTTTGCTTATTTGAGCTGTTCTTGCCATAATATGGACATGGTCTTTTACCAAATAGGGCTATCTTCTGTATACCACCCCTACCTTGTCACAACACAACTGATTGGCACAAACGCATTAAGAAGGAAAGAAATTCCACAAATTATCTTTTAACAAGGCACACCTGTTAATTGAAATGCATTCCAGGTGACTACCTCATGAAGCCGGTTGAGAGAATGCCAAGAGTGTGCAAAGCTGTCATCAAGGCAAAGGGTGGCTACTTTGAAGAATCTCAAATATAAAATATATTTTGATTTGTTTAACACTTTGTTGGTTACTACACGATTCCATATGTGTTATTTCATAGTTGTGATGTCTTCACTATTATTCTACAATGTAGAAAATAGTAAAAATAAAGAAAAACCCTTGAATGAGTAGGTGTGTCCAAACTTTTGACTAGTACTGTATGTTGTGCAGGTGTGTACTCACTAGCCCTAAGGGACCAAGATTATGATTCAGTTATTACACAAACATAGGCACTTGTTCTGACCGTGTTTGGTGCTGCCCTTTGTAGGCTTTTAAAATGCATTGAGAAACCTCAGTCCCACACCCCCTTCCCTTGTTAATGCCACTTAGAGACAAGAAGAAAATAAATGATCTTTAATTTATATACACATTTATAAATGAATGAATATTTTAATTAAGAATGTATATAGATAAATATGTGGGTATATATAGAGAGGGTGTGAGTGAGATGGAGAGAAAGAGGGAGATGAAAGAGAGAAAAAGGGAGTTAAAGGAAAATGGACTCCAGTGATCTCAAGAAAAGCACTCTTGGAAATGTATTTTTTTCATGGACTGTTTTCCTCTCTCGACTGGACTCAGGTTTCCACGGCAACACCCACCCCCATTGCAACCTGATGGGGTTATGTACTGTATGTCATGTGATCAATGGGGAGGAGGCTGAACACTCTTTGCCTAGTGGACACTCCCGGGGTAGGCAGCCCAATCACACAAAGGCAAAGGAGGAGACACGTTCTTGGGCCAGTATCTGAACTGTACAGACTATGGCCCAACATTGTCAATGACCCAATATTGACAGAAACGTAGGACCCTTGCCTCAGGAGACCGCTGAAATAACAAAGAGTCTTGAGGAGAAGAGTTTCTCTGTGAGAGTCCCTAACCAGCAACAGCCAGCCAATAGGAATAGGCCCCATTCACTCATAGCTTTTCTTTGGGTTACAGTTAAGTTTGTCTATATCATAAGCTCTCTTTGCTGATTGGATCAACTGTATTATTTTTGTACATTGCTGTCCTGTGTCCTCCACTGACTGTATGTCAAAGATATTTCCTATCCACTGTCCCACTGGGCAGGATGGACTGAGCTACCAGCTACACCCCTGAGTTAGGCATTGATGTTAATTAGGTTTATGATTCAGAGAGGGCATCTCTTAACCCTTTGAAGAGGATGGATGGACAGCATATCCTGATTATACTTCAGTCCTTATTGAACTGTAATGTTCCGGAACAGAATATTGATAGTAAGGTTCTAAGAACTCACTCCAGAAAGGGTTCAAAGTGACTCTTGAGCGACTCGGGGAGCTAGCTGTTTTGTCTGGGTCCTCTCACCAGCAGTGTCTTCTACTACCCTTGTATTCTTCTCACCCATAACCTTGATCACTGTGTACGTAAGCTCTATTTTTGTGAATGGTACTCAGTGTCTAAAGACCTTTTCTCTTTATTCTCGATATTATAACACAATCTGAATTTTAAAAGACATAGGATCAAGAAAATAAAAATAGATTAAAAAACATATTTTATTCTTGGGATTTAATGTTACTTTTGTTGTGATTTTTATTTCTCTGTTGGTCTTTGATCTTTTTATGTCATCACCTTTTTGTCTTGTAAAGTCAGTTATCTATTTTTTTAAAGAAGAACCTAGGGAAATTCAAAAAATTTATAAAATAAAAAAATCTCTCTCTTCCCCCGTAAGACAAAATGTACAAGAGGTATTTTGTTAGTTAAATCGTAAACGAGTCAGTCAGCTCGATATATATTGTTGTACATTGGGATACATTACATGTTTAAATAATGTAATTAAAGTATTTCTTTTGAATCAGTGAAGTCTGTCTTTTAAAAATGTAAATTCCCTCATCACAAACTTGGTTTATTCACATAAAACATATAATACCACTTACAGCATGTAATAAAGTGGTAATAGTATGGCAACAAAGTTCACAATGAAAACATTATTTGCCTAGATATCCCTTAATTTCAGTATAATCATATTCTTGTTTACAGGGTAATACACCATATACTTTGTGCTGTGCTATAGTATAGAGGGGGTAACAAAAATAATATCTGAAAGGACTAGATAGGTGTGAATATTATCCTAATGGCTCCCCCTAGCCTTCCAACAAGCTAAGTGGAGCTTCTGCAATTTTGCTCTCACTGATCCAGACTGTGAACACCAGAAGTGGTAGGAGTTTGAGGAAGGGGCTAGCGACCTAAATGAAACTGGGCGTATGTATAACACATTAGCCTGGTCCCAGATCTGTGCTTTTTCCTACTCCATTGTCATTGTTTGGCATGACAATTCCTTAAGAAGTTGGCAAGAGAGCAGAAACAGACTAGGACCAGGCTAATAACAACACATCACATTCCAAACTGCAGAGTGGGACCTGGATCATTCAGGATGGCATCACATTGTAAAATGTATTTCACTGAACAGACATGATTCTCTGCATGTAGAAAAGGTATTGGCCAACTGACATCAGCACCATCATTTTTTTATATATCATCTGCAGCATTGTGAATATTGCACCCCTCTGAAAAAGGCACAAATGTTGCCAAAAACATTCACCCCTTGCCAATGGGAAAGGAAAGTGAGCCGACTGGGATGCATCCATTGTCCTCAGCAGAGCGGTCACTGACTGTCACATCTACGGCCCACAGCTAGTCCCTTCACCGATATCTCATTTCCTTTACCTGTACTGCTGTAGGGGGGATTGGGTAAAGGTGAAAGAAGATTCCAAGTGGCATCCACCTTTTATTGTAGCAACCACCTGTCCTCTCACAAATCAGCAGATAAAGAAGATGGCTAACACCTAACTCCTCCTGACGTCAGTTTGGAATGGCTCTTTGATGTTGTTGGCACAATGCGTAGATTAATGAAAGGGGATGTGTCTCTCCTCTGTGTCTTTCTCACTCAAAAACTCACACGCAAAACCATACACAGCCCCCAAGCACTGCCCCCTACCATTACATCGGTTAAATTTTATAATACAAACAATGAGGTCTCAACCCCCGAGAAAAACAACAACATTTAAGACAACCAATCAAACCGTCGCACAATTTCTGAGCTAATCTTGCATCAACAAACGACCTCCTTT